TCTCGCTTGGCCATGATGCACTCAACCTCCTTGTCAAATGAAGTCACCATCAAAGGTGGAGCTCGTTGAGACTCTCCACGACTTGGCTCCTCGGGGTCGGCATGGTAGGGCTTGAGATTGCTCACGTGGAACACCGGATGAATCTTCAATCGGGGTGGTAGTTCCACACGGTAAGCAGCTCTTCCCACTGATCGGATGATAGGAAATGGGCCCTCATATCTCCTCAACAACGCCTTGTGTAACTTTCTAGTGGACTTGTGTTGAGAAGGGTTGAGCTTCACAAAGACCATATCACCTGGTTGGAACACAACATCTCGCCTATGCTTGTCCGCCCATTTCTTCATCTTCCGAATTGCCTTCTCCAATTGAGCCCGCGTCAGCTCATTAGTCTCCTGCCACTCCTTGGCTGTCTTGTATGCAGCTGGGCTACTCCCCGTGTAGCCTGACACCACTGTGTTCGGTGTCATAGGTTGTTGTCCTGTTGCCAACTCGAAAGGACTTGACCCTGTTGACTCCGACCGCTGCAAGTTGTATGAGAATTGAGCAACATCCAACAACTTTGCCCAATCTCGCTGGTTGGCACTCACATAATGCCTCAAGTATAACCACCTTGGAACATAGATCACCTTCCTTGTTGCATAAAGAACACCATCATCGGGCCAAAATCTTCTTGTCTTCCCATCTTTGACAAGCTCCAACAGACTTTGGGGATCATGCAACAAGCCCTCTCGTATCCTCTGCTCCGTGTCATTGAGCTTCCGACTCTTGAAAGCCAATGGGTGTCCATCCTGCATGAGTACACCACCAATAGCAGAATCTGATGCATCAGTGTGTACCTCAAATGGTTTGCTAAGATCAGGAAGTCTCAGCATTGGTTCCTCCATAAGTGCCCTCTTCAACTCCTCGAAGGCATGATCCACCTTCCTCTTAGGTGGTAAGGTTTTGGGCAACTCCTTGGGCATGACCTCTGCAAACTCCTTAAGGATTGCCTCCACAGCTTTCGGGACGGGTTGGACTTCCTTCTGAACTATATCCATCTTCATAGTTGCAAGGAACGTCGGTTCGCCCTTCTTCCAAGACTTGGAAAATTGCATGGCTGACAAAAGCTTCGTCTCGCCTTGTTGCCTCACCACTGGCACCATGCATGGCATTGCTCCACCCTGTGCAATGCACATAGTATTGTAAAATGGAATGGGGAACGCCTTTACCTTGTCCATGAACTCCATTCCTAGCACGACATCGTAGTCATCCATTGAGATCACGGAGAAGTCAGCTACTCCCTTCCAAGTGGCAATGTGTAGCTCCACACCACGAGCTACTCCATCAATTGGTTTGGCAGTTGAATTCACCGTCTTCATACTGCCTGCTTCCTTCGAGACTCGACACCCAAGTCTCTTTGCTTCCTGCACGGACATAAAGTTGTGCGAGGCACCTGTATCCACCAGGCAACGAGTTGTCTTACCATTCACCATGGCATCGACGAACATCACACCTTTGGCTTGAACCTGTGGTTGAGCGACTTTGGCCTGCACAGCATTGAAACGGTGAATGGCCCCCATTCTTGCTTCCCTGTCGGCCTCCTCTTCCTTCTCTTGGTTCATAGCATTCAAGGCTTTCTTTTGCGGACAATCCCGCATCATGTGCGCTCCATCGCACAAGTAACAAGCTAGCTTTGACTTGTCTTTCCCCTTGTCACCTTTGTCATTCTTCTTCCCGGATGACTTGTGACCGTCAGACTTGTCTCCCGGCTTGCTACCCTCT